GTCCCGACGTGGCTTGGCCGGAGATTGACTGTCGAGACCTCGGTCTGGCCGAGCGGAATCACGGGGGCTATGCCCCCGCTTTTGGGGCGCAGAGCGCAGGGGGGGAATGGGCGGGCCACGGCGTGGGCCGCGCGGGGGCGCGGGCGCAGAACATATTGAAACATATAGGTGAAGATGTCATCGACGCTCGTAGAGGTCATGGCCTGCAAGGCAAGACCGCGCTGCGTGGCAACGTCGCGGCGGTCTGGTGGATCGAGTTCCAGGGCGTGCATCTCAAGGCGCCCGCCACTGGCAAGAACGCTGTTGTTCCTCCATTGGCGCGGTGGCCATGCATCAGCAGGGGGGTGCTTGATGGGGGCGGCTATGCCATTCAGGGCCGCCGTCGCGAAGAGCCTGGCATGGGGTGGTCCGCGCGGTGCAGAGTCCCCGCGGAGCAATGAAGTCCAGCCGCTCAGTCATTTGAGAATTCCCATGGAACGGGGGATCGACGTTTACTGGCCGCCAGCGGAACCTCTGGGAGCTCCGCGGCCGACAGCGCGTGAAGCAAGGGCCCGGCGCCGCCTGGCTGCGCCGGGGTAGGCGCCCCCCCTCGAGCGCAGTCTGCCAAGGGAGAAGAGGCCTGACTCCTTATGAAACCTAAGGGCCGTCCCGCGGCAGCAGGAACATCGGGTGGCGCCGAGGGCGCGGGCGGCGGGGCCGAGAGTGGCGGCGAGGGGGCAAAGAGGCGAAGAGTCGCGCGCCGCGTGGTCGACAGGATTCCAGATGATGTCAAGCTGGCGGCCCGACCCAGTGGGACTCGCGCTCGCGCTCGTGTGCTGCCTCTTCGAGCTCCGCCAAGGCAGCGGGGCCGCCGGCCGCGAGAGATTTCTGGCTGGGCGCGCCTAGGCCCAGGCATGACGCAGCTTGCGCGTCGCGGCGCCGCGTGGGCAGCGCCCCGCCGCGGCTTGCGCGCGCCGGCGACGAGCGGCAGAATGGAATGCGGATTCCATTTCCCCATGGCGAGACAGCGCCGACAACTGGCGGTCGTCTTGGAGCTGGAGCTCAGGCAACTGACAAGGCTGCAGCAGCTGGGGCCGCGATGACCACAGTTGGGGATGAGTGGAACAGAACGAGGGGCACCTGCAGCTTTGCTGCGGGCGCCCCCATCGAGGCAAACAGTCCCGCTTCAAGTGCGTCTCGAATGGATGAGATGAACCGCCTGACGCAGCCGTGCTATGCACTGAGCGTTCCAGAGCGCTGTGGGCCAGGTAGCGGGTGAGCTGCCTGCTGGGCGCGGCGCGACGGGCCTCTTTATAAGCGAATTGGGGGCGTTGACAAATCGTTGACGTCCACCCGTGCGAGTGGAGCTCGCCGGGGAGGCCGCGGGGGGAGTTGATTTAGTCACGCCCCTGTCTTGCCTCAGCATCATCTTTTGACTTTCGCCGAAGCTGTATTGGCTTCGGTCGCGAGCAAAGGGGCTCCGCGCCCGCCGCGCGTCCGCGCTCCCGCCGGCCTGGGGTTCATCGTTACCTTAGCCATAGCTTTACGGCAGAACAGCATATTAAGCCATGGCTACAAGGAGTACCTCGCCACTGCATTGCTCGGATCTGAGCGTGGAACTATTGCGAGAGAAATTCCCCATGCAAAACATTTACGCGTCTTGCCTATGAATCGGGCTGCGAGTGCTCCCCTCCTGACGGTGAATTAGCGAAACACTGAATGTGCGCGGCGTACACGCGCGATGCGCAGCTTGAGACGGCCCGCCTTCCATCCTAAACAGTTACAGATTTCTACGTAAGACGGAATGTGTGCGCGGCGCGCTGGCGAGAGCTACGTTTTGAAAACCCACCGACCCCCATCCGTGAAACAGTTGCAAATTTCAAATTTCAGGATCATAAATGGTGAGGGCGTCTCAGGCGAAACGCGCGGCCCGCCCTGCCGACGCGCCTGCGGGTTCGACAGGGAAGGGGTATTCACCAGGAAGAAGGATGGAACAGGAGGAGGGTGGTGAGGACAGCAGGGCGTCCATCGGACCTGCCGCGGCCGCAACAGGCTGCCACACCAGCGAGTCGCAGCTGTTCTAGTCGGGGGGCCGGCCCTTTCCCGCCGCTGCCCAGCCGATGGCCCTTCTCTTGCGCCTCTGCCTCCTGTTCCTCCTCCTTCCTCTTTCCTTCCCTTCCACAGTGCTTTTCTTGTGGCCGGGGCCTAGCAGGATCGAGAAGAGCGAGGACGGTGCGGGAGGGGGAGTCGGTGACAGAGGATGAGGAGTAAGACGCCAATGATCATGATGATGCTGATGACGAAGATGCTGCTGATGATGATGGTGGTGATGATGATGACGATGACGATGACGATGATTTTAAATTTGATTTTAATGCTGATTTTTACGTGATGTTGGTGGTGGTGGTGGTGTAGTGGTGGTAACTGTGGTGTTTGTGGTGGTGGAGGACGTGGTGATGTGGTGATGCTGGTGATGGTGGTGGTGGTGGTGATGATGTTGATGGTAATGGTGATGGTGATGGTGATGGTGGTGGTGGTGGTGGGGAGATGATGATGATGATGATGATGATGATGATGATGATGATGATGATGATGATAATGATAATGATGATGCCGATGCTGATGCTGATGCTGATTCTGATGCTGATGATGCTGATTCCGACACTGCTGATTCTGATTATGAACGTGGTCATGATGACGACTCTGACAAGGATTCTGAGGATGATGCTGATGATGATGGTGATGGTGATGGTGATGGTGATTGTGATGGCGGTGAGGATTCTTCTGCTGCTGCTGCTGCTAATGATAATGATAATGATAATGATGATGATGATGATGATGATGATGATGATGATGATGATGATGATGATGATGATGATGATGATCATGATCATGATGATGATAGTGACGGGTGGTGGTTGTCACTGCATAAGGAAAACAAGTCTCGAGCAGAGCAACACGCGCCACGACCACGACGACGCCGACGACCACGACGACGACGGAGAGGAGGCGCGCAGACGATCCGCACCGAAGCACGGATTTGGGAAAGGGCCCACCCTGCAGGTTCGGTTAAGCAGCACATCGTTGCGTGGGGATGCAGCCTCCTCTGAGCACAGGCCCCCCCCAAGCATCAACCAGGCAAGTCGTGTTTGCACCCTCATGCCTTCCGGGAATCTGGGCGCGTGCCGGCACCCTCTCCCCCAATTTCGTCAGGGCCACCGACAAGGGAGAGGCCGGCGGTGGCCGACGCGTCCGTGAGTTAAGAGTCTCAAAGCGCCGCGGTTTAGCGAGCTGGAAAGACAGACAGGCAGACGAACGGACGGACAAACGGACAGCCAGGCGGCGTGCAATGATGATGATGATGATCATGATGATGACGACGATGCTGATAATGATGATGACGATGACGACTACGATGACGATGACGATGACGATGCCGATGACGATTATGCTGATGATGATGCTGATTATGATGATTACGATGATGATGATGCTAATGCTGATGCTGATGTTGATGCTGATGCTGCTGATGATGATGATGATGGTGATGATGATGATGATGATGCTGATGATGATGCTGACGGTGACGATGACGATGACGACTATGGTGACGATGACGATGCCGATGACGATTATGCTGATGATGATGCTGATGATGATGATGATGATGATGATGATGACGATTACGACGATGATGATGATGATGATGATAATGATGATGATGATGATGATGCTAATGCTGATGCTGATGCTGATGCTGCTGCTGATGCTGATGCGGATGCTGATGCTGCTGCTGATGATGCTGATGATGATGATGCTGATGACGGTGATGATGATCATGATGATGCTGATACTGATGATCATGATGCTGATGATGATGATGATGATGATGATGATGATGATGCTGATGAATATGGTGATGGTGGTGATGGTGATGGTGATGGAGATGGAGATGGGGACGGGGATGGTGATGATGATGATGATGATGCTGATGATCATGATGCTGATGATGATGCTGATAACTATGGTGATGGTGGTGATGGTGATGGGGATGGGGATGGGGATGGGGATGGTGATGATGATGATGATGATGATGATGATGATGATGATGATCCTGATGATGATGATGATGATGATGATGATGATGTTGCTGATGATGATCATGCTGATGATGATGATGATGATGATCAGTAGGAAGAGAAGGAGGATGAGGAGGAGGCTGAGGATGAGGATGACGAGAAGGATGTTGTTGATGATGATGATGTTTCTGATGATGATGATGATGATGATGATGATGATGATGAAGATGATGACGATGACGATGATGAATGATGATGATGATGATGATGATGATGATGATGATGATGATGATGATGATGATGATGATGATGATGATGATGATGATGATGATGATGCTGATGATGATGATGATGATGATGATGATGATGATGCTGATGATGATGATGATGATTATGATGATGATGAAGCGGAGAAGGTGGGAGGTGGGGATAGTGGAAAGAGCGGCAGGAGTAAGGGGTGGTGGGCCAGGGAGTGCCAGCAGGTGCGCCGGACATGTTGGAAGCCTGCGCGGCTGTCTCGTCAGCGCTCCCAGCATCCTTCATCCTCCCGTGCCTCGGTACGGCCGTAGCCTCCAGCCTTTCTCCAGCTCTTCCATCTGAAACTCACCCTATTCATCCTTGCCTCTGAAGCCCACCCAGTTTTTTGGATTTTGCCACGTCGTCTCGAGCCCCTCCAGCTTGTCGCCTGTAGTTTCATTTTTTCCGTTCGGACATTGGTGTATGAGGTTTCTTGTAGGTGTCGGGAGCTCTTGTGATCATTCAGGCTCGGCTTATGTCATCGTCGACATTGCCACCGCCGCCGCCTGGTCAGCCGCGTCCGTTACCGAGATCGCAGGCGTCGTCGTCGTCGTCGTCGGTTAGCACAGTCGTACAGGTGAAGTCGGGGTCGTTGCTTGTGTCCTTGCGCCTCGGGGTGCTCCATGAGGAGGAGCAGGCGGCTTCGCGCTGGGTTGGCGGCGTTCTCGGTATGGCGCCTGGCCTACCAGGTTCGCGGCCCACAGTCGAGGACCTCCTCAAGGAGCGCCAGGTCATTAGATATATGCAGGGCCCACTATTCGCCAGTCAAGGGTCGGTCGTGGGATATGGAATAGCACTTTGACATGTCTCCTGCCCGTTGTCCCAGCACTGCTGGTGCTTCCTGTTGCGAGTGCATGTGGCACTCGTAGAGCAGGAGGACGAGAAGGATGAGCCACGATACTCGTGCCATTCCTTTGCGATTGGCTCAAAGCGAGCACCTGGCCCCCCCTTGCCGGTGCGCATCCCCGCTCCGTGTTCTATGTGGCTTGCTGGTAGGCCGCCCGCCTTACGGTGCTCCTGACCATCCGCAGTTTGAATGCAGTATGCGACACCTCCGCGCACCGAAGACTCCCTTGGCCCGAGCATGGCCCAGCACCAGCAGACCGTCGACCCAAGTCAGTACCAAGGAAATATCAAGGCAGGCCAGAGCACCAGGCGACTCCTGGACAGCAAAGTCACCTTCATCTGCGTTGGCCTCCTGCTGCTGACGATGATGTGCATAGTTCCCATCTGGAATGCCGCGGCGCTGATGTCAGACGAAAACTACGTCTTCTGGGTGGGCCGAGCAACACCAGTATCCATAATGACGCTGACGATCGGTCTCGTTTTGCTGTACGTGGCCACGGTTTTCGTTTTCGTGGGTTGCGCCAGGTCACAGTTTTCTGAGCAGACGGTAATGATGATGGCGAACATTTTCATCACGCTGCTAGGCCTGATTCTTATTTTGATGTCGCTGCCGTTGACCAGGGAGTCCGTGGAGACCTACACGACTCTGATGCACCAGTGCGATGTTGCACCGCAAACACACCGGCTGTACGAATACTCCCAGGTCCTGCAAAATATACGTGCTACCCCAGAGTGTGCTGCTAAGTACTCTGTGGAGGAATGCGTTGGATACGAGGAGGCGGTGCCTTACACTTCATTTTTGAAGAGCATGGAGGGGCGATACCGGTGCGCTGGCTTCTGCTATCATCCCACAAACGCAGATGCCCTTCTGGCCGCGCCGTTTCAAACATTCGGGCCCGCTCCAGGCAACAGCTTCTGCGGGGGCGACTACCTGGCCTCGACCAGTGTCCTGTCGATGCCAGACTGCGAGGCGAGGTGCAGGGAGGACGGGAGGTGCAGGTATTTCAGCTACTGGGCCACCGGGAAGTCCCACTGGTGCCACACGACGGCCAGGTGCGACACCCTAGAGAGGGACTTAGGGCGACGAGAGATCTATACGTATCCACCGCCACCCAGGCCTGGCCCATCCTGGGCCCAGCAGCGGTGTATACGCCCTCCTGGCATGGCCAGAGAGGCATGTGCACACCGCTCTTGGGCCCGGGATCGGCCAGGCCTGGGGCAGTGGACGTGTGCCGATCCCGCTGCCCCAGGACGGGGACCAGGTGGTCTGGATCTACTCCCGGCCGGAGGCGGCCGTGGAGCCCGGGCGCTGGCAGTACGCCCAGGAGACCAAGGGCGGCCCGTCCCGGGACAACGTCACGAGCCAGCGGGCCGCGGGGCACCAGGTGGCCAGCAGGCCGCCCCGCTTGGGCGCTGCCGCCGCCGCCGCCTCTCCGGGTGGGCCTTCGCTCAGATGCTGATTCGGGTTGGCCTTCCTGGGGCCCACCTAGTGGATCTGCTCGACTCCGGTTCGACTCCAGCTCGACTCAAGGGCGATTCAAGCTCGACTCAAACTCAAGGTCGACTCAAGTCGACGGACGTTCGACGCGACATCGACGGAAGGTCGACTCAAGTCGACGGACGTTCGGTGTTCGGTCCCGCGGGCGTGGTTGACAGCAGGCCGTCCGCGTTCTGCCGCCGCCGCCGCCGCCTCCCCGAGCCCCCCCCGCCTCGATCCCCCAGCTGCAGCATCTGGGGCCAGAAGCCCGCCCCCGCTCGCCATCTGAAGCAACTGGGTCCTGAGGGAAGCGGGTCCCGAAGTTATTTCCCAACCATCCTGTGGTGTTGGGTCCTCGTTTTGAAGAGACAGCGCCCCGCGTTCCCACCTCCCGCTGCCCCCCTCCCTCCTGCTCCTCTCCCTCCTCCCTGCGTTTCACCCGCCGAGTACAGCGTTTCGTGGCCCCATAGGGTGCTCCGCCGAAGGCCCCAGTGGCAGGGTCCGCATGCAGTTCCACCCCCATTTCGGCGCACCCCTCACACGTTTCGTGGCCTCTCCATAGGGAGCTCCACCGAAGGCCCCAGTGGCAGGGTCCGCATGCAGTTCCACCTCCATTTCGGCGCACCTCTCGCACGTTTCGTGGCCCCATAGGGAGCTCCACCGAAGGCCCCAGTGGCAGGGTCCGCATGCAGTTCCACCCCCATTTCGGCGCACCCCTCACACGCTTCGTGGCCCCCATAAGGAGCTCCACCGAAGGCCCCAGTGGCAGGGTCCGCATGCAGTTCCACCCTCATTTCGGCGCACCCCTCACACGTTTCGTGGCCCCTATAGGGTGCTCCGCCGAAGGCCCCAGTGGCAGGGTCCGCATGCAGTTCCACCCCCATTTTCGGCGCACCCTCACACGTTTCGTGGCCCCTGTAGGGTGCTCCGCCGAAGGCCCCAGTGGCAGGGTCCGCATGCAGTTCCACCCCAATTTCGGCGCACCCCTCACACGTTTCGTGGCCTCATAGGGTGCTCCGCCGAAGGCCCCAGTGGCAGGGTCCACATGCAGTTCCACCTCCATTTCGGCGCACCTCTCACACGTTTCGTGGCCCCATAGGAAGCTCCACCGAAGGCCCCAGTGGCAGGGTCCGCATGCAGTTCCACCCCAATTTCGGCGCGCCCCTCACACGTTTCGTGGCCCCATAGGGAGCTCCACCGAAGGCCCCAGTGGCAGGATCTGCATGCAGTTCCACCCCCATTCCGGCGCACCCCTCACACGTTTCGTGGCCCCTACAGGGTGCTCCGCCGAAAGCCCCAGTGGCAGGGTCCGCATGCAGTTCCACCTCAATTTTGGCGCACCCCTCGAACGTTTCGTGGCCCCATAGGGAGCTCCACCGAAGGCCCCAGTGGCAGGGTCCGCATGCAGTTCCACCCCCATTTCGGCGCACCTCTCACACGTTTCGTGGCCCCCATAGGGTGCTCCACCGAAGGCCCCAGTGGCAGGCCCACACTTCGGCGCACCCCTCACACGTTTCGCGGCCCCATAGGGTGCTCCACCCAAGGCCCCAGTGGCAGGGTCCGCATGCAGTTCCACTTCCATTTCGGCGCACCTCTCACACATTTCGTGGCCCCACAGGGTGCTCCGCCGAAAGCCCCAGTGGCAGGGTCCGCATGCAGTTCCACACCCATTTCGGCGCACCTCTCACACGTTTCCTGGCCATATAGGGTGCTCCGCCGAAAGCCCCAGTGGCAGGGTCCGCATGCAGTTCCACCTCAATTTTGGCGCACCCCTCGAACGTTTCGTGGCCCCATAGGGTGCTCCACCGAAGGCCCCAGCGGCAGCGCCCGCATGCGGTTCCACCCCCATTTCGGCACACCCCTCACACGTTTCGTGGCCCCATATGGAGCTCCACCGAAGGCCACAGTGCTGCGTTCGCATGCGGTTCCACCCCCGCATTTCGGCACACCCCTTACAAGTTTCGTGGCCCTATAGGGTGCTCCGCCGAAGGCCCCAGTGGCAGGGTTCGCATGCAGTTCCACCCCCATTTCGGCGCACCCCTCGCACGTTCCGCGGCCCCATAGGGTGCTCCACCGACGGCTCTGGTGGCAGCGTCCGCATGGCGTACCCGTGCCAATTTTGGCACACCCCGTCACGCGTCGTGACCCCAGAGAGGTTCACCGAGGTCGATGCCCACAACTGCGTCACTCACAACTGCACATGGTTGGGTCCCTCGCCAGGATAATTTCTTGTTTTTGCCTCTCGGGGGCCCTCCGCGGTCCTTGGGATTGTCTAGCAACGACTCAGGACGACAGGCTGGTCCTGGGGGAAGGCCCCGTGGTCTAGGACTCGTTTGCCTTATGTCAACCCCGCCCCCGCCTCGTTCTCCTCTTCCGTCTCGGGGGGTGGGGGGGGCGAGGGCCGGGGGCAACGGCAGCGGGAGACTGGCCCGGGGGGTGATCATTGACCCCCAGTCGCCCTGTCACCGCCAAGCGAGGCTTGGCCCCCACCCCGCCCAACGCGCGCGTTCGCTGGGCTTAGCGCTGATCTGATGGCGAGGTATCGCCGATTGGGCCATTGTCCCCTCCCCTCCCGCCCTCTGTAGCCATTTTGGCTCAAGACTTCTGCACTTGGGGGTTCTGCGCCTCCGTGCCGAAACGGGATAGCTCTGGCTCCTGAGTTTGCTCTCAGTGGTTCGCCTGGCTCGCCCCAGGCTGAGTGCTGTGACGCAGCACAGCGTACATTACCATGACTATGCTGTGCGCTGGTCGGTGGTTCAGGTTTCTATTGCTCAAGGATGGGAGGCTCCAAGGCACGTCGCTCTGTCGCGGAGCAATGTGCAAGCATGAGCCGACTTACAATGGCATTCTCAATGTGTTCGGTCCTGAAGGCAGCTTTGGAGCAAAACGCGCAGGCACCTTTGGAGCATGCGGAGAAGCAGGAGCAGGAGACAGCCAAGCATATCCTTGGCTTCGAGGAGCGAATGCGATCTATTGTCGTGCTGTGATGAGCGCAGCCCGTCGTTGGCCACCCTCACTCTGGGGCTGGAGGCGACGGTTAAGCAGTCCGACACAGCCATCCAGGCTCCCAGACGCACGGAAAAGTTCACGTCGGATCCTTTGGCTATGCCGAGCGTGGTGCAGAAACTTAGAACAACCCTTGATGCGGCGCCACCCGCCCCCGAGCCAGTCGCCAAAAAAACTGACAAAATGGCCCGATGCGAGTTGACGAGGACAAAGCAGCTATACAGGAGGCCCGCGTGGACAGCCTCGATGCGAACACCTGCCGTGCACGTCTCAAGGCTTGTGGAATCGAGGTGCCCGCGGGTGGCAGTGATGACGACGGCGCCAGCGAGTTCTGCCATAAACTCAAGAGACACATGTTTCATGCCCAATCCTTGGCAATGAACAGCAAGTCTGCGGCGTAGGACAGGGACGCGGGTTGCCTCTGCGCTTGCTCTAGCTTCCTCCACTGACAGCGTGAATTCTAGCGTTGCGCAGCAGCGTCTGCGCTCGATTGACGTGCTGCGGATCCTTTCGATTTCGGCGGATACTGCGACGAAGCTTGTGATTATGCGGCTACGTCATCGTCGAGAATGAAGTAGGCCACTGTGTCGTCGTCGGGTGAGGCTACTGCGACTCGGACGCTGCACTCACTTGTTCTGGGGCCTCTGATACACCTGGCAGACGAAACCCCTGGTGGGCCAGTGCCCCCGAGGCGCTGGGAACGCCAGATGGGGCCCTGCTGCGGTGAAGCGGATGGGGGGTGGGGCAGGCAGGGGGCGCCGCGAGCATTTCGCGCTCTGCGGCCTCTTCGGATTCTGCTGCTGCGTGTCCTTCTCGGTTGAGGCCGCTGCGACTCGGGCGCTGCGCTCGCACCCGACAGACGAAGTCCATGGTGGGCCAGTGTTCCGGAGGCGCTGGAATCACCAAGTTGGGCCCTGTTGCGGTGAATCGGGGGGGGGGGGGGCGGGCAGGGGGCGCCGCGGGCACTTCGCGCCCTGCGTCGTCGTCGTCGCCTTCCTTCTCAGCTAGGGTTGTCGAACTCTTTCACAGCTAGGTTTTCAAGGTGTGCTGCCAGTGCGCCGATGGACTCGTGCGTTGTCTCATTCAACTCGAGCTCGCAGGGCCCTCTAGCGGATGACGGGAAGCGCCCCTGGCGTGGACCGTTTGTTGGTGGTAAAAATTAATAATCGGGTACGGGGTGCACTTGGAAACTGCGCTGGCGGATTTCCAAAAACGGCCTCCAGTGGCCGACAACCGTCCCGAATGACCTCCAAACCGGCTCCGGAGGGATCCAGAGGCCTCCCTGGAGGGTCCAGGAGGCCCCCGAGACGCCCCCAGGACGCCCGAAGAGGCCCCCAAGAGGCCCCAAGAGAGCTTCAATACAGCCCAGGACACCCTCAAGAGGCCTCCAAGACGGGAAGCGCCCCTGGCGTGGACCGTTTGTTGGTGGTAAAAATTAATAATCGGGTACGGGGTGCACTTGGAAACTGCGCTGGCGGATTTCCAAAAACGGCCTCCAGTGGCCGACAACCGTCCCGAATGACCTCCAAACCGGCTCCGGAGGGATCCAGAGGCCTTCCTGGAGGGTCCAGGAGGCCCCCGAGACGCCCCCAGGACGCCCGAAGAGGCCCCCAAGAGGCCCCAAGAGAGCTTCAATACAGCCCAGGACACCCTCAAGAGGCCTCCAAGACGCCTCAAGAGGCCTCGAAGAGGCCTCGCAAGAGCGCCAAAGAGGCAAAAATAGTTGATTTTT